CACGAAGGGAAATTCTTAGGGGAACAGCGTGTAAGTACTTGAGTTTCCTGCTTTCGGGATCACCCTTTCGACCAATCTTGTTATTTTAAAAATATTTTTCGCGCTATTCATCTGATACAGGGCACGTCTCCCTGCTCTGCCCATGCCAAGGGAAGAAATGTATCATTTCCCTGAAGTACTGTTCCTGATAGGCACAGTGTGAAAAATGGGAAACGGGTAAGCAGACTCTGCCATATGATGCCCGGTACACTTCACGCACCTGGCGTAATTGCCTTCTACTTTCTAGACCGTGAATCGGGGGCTTTCGCTTCTTTCCACTCGGACGACCGAGTGAACCTCGCGCACACACGTCTCTGCGAATTTACCCATGAGAATAAAATTACTCTGGAAGCTCGTTTTAAGGATATTTGAAAATAATTCCACTCACAGCCACAATGATTTGTGGTGATTTTGAGAATGACTTAAGCTGTGGTTTCTTTCAATTAACAATTATGTGTTTTAAATTGTTTGATGTTTGTGCCTGCATGGATCATTGGTTATATTTTTTTAGGAGGGGGAGTGAGGGGGGGTGAGGGGGGGACGACGGGAGCGTGCAAGTGGTGTTTCCGGTTCGCAGATCCAAACATATTCCTGAACCATTTCCCTTTTTTTTTCCATCCTAAAAAACCTACGCCTGGAATTCATGTCCTCGACTGCTCGATATTCTCACTATTCTTAAGAAACATCCGCATAATATCGAGCGGTCGAGGATATGAATTTCCAGTGTAGGTGTTTTACCATGACAAAAAGGGGAAATAGTGTAGATAATAGCCTTGGTTGAAAGGTTTTTCGCCTCGACCCCAATCTCATGTCTCCGCTCCATATCCCAATAGCGAAACAATCTCGACTTCAGTTTGTCACGCGACAGTTGCAAATGCATAACCGAGAGAATGATGTTGATGTAAGTACCTGCCATCGTCTTTCCGACTGGTACTTCAGATCGAACATGGTTAGAGTGCCGGGAAAGGCCTAAGATCTGTCTGTCGGTTATTCTCGCTGAGATGTTTTCATTAACCGATTTTAATTTAGTCATTCATGACAAATCGTAGGAGAAAAAAAATCAAAGTGTTTTAATCAATAAATCTGTGCTCTTACAGCAAAAATGTTCCCTAAACTTGCTCTGTTGCAATATTTTTACACGTTCCAAAGAGACTTTTGAAGTTTGAGTTTAATTTCCCGAGGCAATTCGTCTAAGAGAAGTTAGCATTTGAAAATGGACAAAAGTCCGCGCGGATATCCGAGAAGCAAACACCGTACCGCTACGAATCATTCGAGCCACATCGAACGCATCTTCAATTAATTAGATACGTAGGGTGGGTTCTTGTACTCCCTTTTTGCCCTAAAAGACCTTAAAAGACCTTAATGGTCCATTGCCAGCATAGGACTAAAAGCCCGTTAGCAGCTAAAAGGGAGTACAAGAACCCACCCTTAGCCTTTTTTTCAAACAAATAGTTAATAGGTATGAATGCAGGGAGAATGCAGGAAGTCCAGTCGTTTCGGAATTCTTTTCGGCCGACGCTTGTGAAGCTTTCGTTCAGCGAATTCCGGGGTGACATTTTTGAAAAGGCTGTCGGGAACGATAACCTCCACGCACAGTGAAAACGGCTTCAGTCGGAGCAGAGACACCGAGTTGAAAAGAGTCGCGCGTCTTCTTGCCAGTCGAGTCACCAATTCAATAATTTTTTTTTTTTCAGTCGTGCACCAGGTACGGCGAATGAACTCCGCGTTTTTCGGAATGTATTTTTTGGCCACCCGAACCTGAGCGTTTGCGATGCTAGACGAGACAGTTCGCGGAGCCCATGTCTGGGCGCAACACATGATCGTTCCGGTCTCTGAATGACCTCAAGACTTCACAAGTTCGTCAAGTCGGCGTTATTCTGCGTGCCATGAAATTGGAATTAATGGAGACACCAAGCAATTTTTGGCAAACACAGATGGAAGAGCAAGCATGTCACATTGCCATGTAACGTGACAGCAGATTCCAGGAGTTCAGAACTTTTGGATCTTGGAGCTCGAAACTTTCTGAATTTGAGTAAAGTTCGTCGTTCCGGCAACCAGCACCAGTTGTAGCCAAGATATCGTCCGCGTGTGCCGATTTGCCGCTCTGAAGTTAATCTCAGTAGAGAGGGAAAAGGGGCTATCGCCATTCTAACGAGTGGGGCGAGAAGGGGAGGGGAGAGTGATACTCCTTGAAGGATAGGAGCAGGAAAGAAAACGAAAGGTCAATGGGTCATAGTAACTTTTTTTGCGTTCTGCATTCATTTTTCTTTTCCTTCCGACACCTCCCTATACTTGTAGGAACGTGTTCTCGATGACTTTTCGTCCCGTTCCCTCCAGCTCCCTGAGCAGCAGCATATCATCGGGAGCCAGAGGCACGTCCCCCCCCCCCCCTCCCCTCACTTTAAATGGAAAAGAAAGCAAAAATAAGTAAAAGACTCATGAAATGTACGAGTCCTGTCCCGAAATGTCCTGTGCCCCCCCTCCTTCCCTTCCCCACTCTTTTCATTCACGCTAGGCCTACGTTCGTGAACGAAAGTTTTCGCTCCGTTCCCACGGAAGAAACAGAGAAGAAAACGGGACTCCAGTTTCCCCAGTTCGGAGCCTAACTCAAATAAAACACAATTAGTGCAGATAAGAGACGAAAATCCTGGTCGCGTTGCTGCGTGCGATACGCAATGGATCCATTGATGTCGTTTGCCACTGGAATCTTGATTGAATGCTGACGAAAGTTATTAGAAAATCCCTTCAGTGCTCTCTTTTTCGTCAATTGTCAAAGCCCATACGTGACAGAGGACACTTTCTAATCAGTTTCCTATCTCTCATCGTCATATGAAATTATACCAAGCCAACTTGACTATGATCCCATGTGCTCTGAACCGCTCAAGGAATCCAAACAGTGAAGGTAAATTCCCTTTCCCAACTTTGGCACAGGAAGAACGACTTTATTCAGAATGACCTCTCTTCTCTGACCTATCTGTGACAATATTTCAAAGGAAGTTTTCGGTCTAGAATGCACAAAAGAGCATTCTCTAAGAAAGACATTAATATTGTCTCCAATATGGTTCTGATGAGAGGGACACCATGGTTTTTCTCGTCGATGAGACAGGACCGAGTTGATACTCAACGAGGGGGAATGTGACTCTTGTATGGCGATTTCTCTCCACGTGGAATTCGTACATTCTAAGATGCTGCGCGTAGAAGGTAGAATACTACTAATAAAGATATCTTCGGAAACTTTCTAGATGATATGATTGATTTGACCAGGAAAACTGTATGCAGAAGATTTATCTTCAGATACCTGTCCCATTGAATTAACTTTCTCTCTATTCAAGTCAGTGGTAAGAGATAGCGTAGGTTCTCTATCAGCTCCTATTGCCGATAGCCACAGTGCTGTTGCTGGAGGTGTGCCTTTGGCACAATATCGGAGAAACGCTTTCGAGCAAATTGTGCATGACGCAATAGAGTTTACAATGCTGATTTAAGCCGTGGAACATACTCATACGTTTGCATAAACAGATAATTGAATACAGAAGTCATTTCCGAATAAAGTCGTTTTTTCCATGCCGAGGTAGGAAAAGGGACTTCGTCTTCTGTCTGGTTTCCTTCGTGTTTCCCCTTCCCTTCCTCCCGTCTAGACGTGGATTCTTCGAGGAGGAATGCTCACCCTCTGCTAATCGCATCCCTTTCTTGCATATGGGAGATCAAAGTCAAGTTGATTTGGCAGTCATATGTAATTATACCAAGCCAACAGTCATCACTTCGGTATCGCTCATTCATTCATTTTTATTGATCCCATATTAACCATCGCTTTACCAACATGAGGGAAAAAAATCCTCATGCTATTATTTTTCGAGATGGCAAGCCAAAATTTTCGTTTGACCCTTTAATGCATGACGTAGCAGATATGCTAAACACCAGATTAAATTTTTTTTAATACGTAGGAAGCGAGCTCCTGGGGTAAATCGGTTCGAAGCAGATATCCAACAGTTCAGTCCTTATACCATGCAACCATCGCTAGGTGCCACACACCCCTGATGACAAGCAAATCAAAGACACTTGGCTTCGTCTGGTGACAGACTGACGCTTTTGGTGCAATTATTTTAAATTCCCCCCTCCACTTTTCCAGTGTTCTAGGACCTAAGTAAAACAGGCCAAATTTTTTCCGCCGAAAAAGAAAAAATCATGCATTATAGGGTTAATTTTCTTGTCTTTCAGATGTTACGGGGGTATATCAGTAATGAGAGGTAAAAAATGGCCAAATATTACTATTATAAAGTTATTTGAATCCTGACTATCCCAGACGATGACTGAGCCAGTGTAAATCGCATGAGTCGAACTCATCATGCTTGTTTGGTTTGTCTTGGTCACCCCGAGCAGGAACTCTTGTTTCCTGTTAAAACTTGTGATGCTATGGCTTCCTGAATCACTGGGGCCATTCACGTGAACCTTAGAGGACTCACTTCATTATCGCCCCATCTAATAATCGTCGTCAATGGAAGCGCGAGAAAAAGATCTTGTATGACGTCTTTATCATCAATGGCGAAGATTATCTCTTCGCTACCAAAAACAACCCTTGCCTCTTTCTTCGGAGCCCAATGCAGTCGCATACACAAACCATACATTCGCGGTTCGTTCAAGGAGAAGTCCAAAAGAAAAGTTGGCTTTTCGTCGCTCCTTGTTCGCACACTACAGATTCCAGCTTGCCTTGAAAAGCAGTGACACCTGTAGTGTATATATGAAAACTAAATAACCCAAATGGGTCGTTAGGGAGCAGAAGCAGACCAGTTACAGTGCTAAGGGAGCCGCGCCGCTTATGTTAAGATTTTTGTTGTAACGGGCTTCGGCAAGGCAAGAACTGGCTGCTATCCGGGATTCATTGGTATATATGACATGAAACGTGGTTTAGAGAAGGCTGTCAACTGTAGATCGGAAGAAAATAGCCAGATAAAGGAGCTGCACATAAAGTAAACGATACGGGGGTTGGGGGGTGAGAGCGTCAGTAGGGACAAAGATACTTGTTTGGGAGGAGAGTCGTGACGTCATAGCTTGGGTTTCAGCACGAGCGAATTCCAGACGGGCCAGGCTGTATGGCGAGCGTGCTGGGATGAGACGCTGATTCGCTTGTCCAGTGCCTGTTTTGTACGCCACGTAGAGTAGGCTTAGGCCTAGTTACTCCACTATTCCTGGTTGCTCGCCGAAGTTGTGACCATGGGGAACGAGGGTGAAAATCAGAACCAAACCAACGCCGAATCCAAGGAAGAAAAGCCGGAGGAGAAGAAGGAAGAGAAGCCTCTGAAAGAAGAGGAGAAGAAGAAGGACGAGAAAGAGAAGCCGAAGAAGGAAGAGAAAGACAAGAAAGAAACCAAGTCTCAAGCTATCAAGCCAGCTGTGCATAAGGAAGACTATGAAGAGGACGTGGTGTATTTGTACCAATTCTCCCGCACACCCGTGATTCCATCGTTGAGTCCATTCTGTCTGAAAGTCGAAACTTGGCTGAGGATGGCTGGATTGAAGTATCAGGTTAGTGGACATTTTTGTCGCGTAGAAGTTAGTTTCCCCCCAGCTAATAGACGTAGGATATGGCCAGATTAACTATTGATTTCGGAAGTCCTTGCATCATTTTCAATGGTCCGAACGTGAGATGAACATTTGTTGCATTTTGAGTGCGACCGTGTTGCCAATGTGGACTTCAAACCGAGTAGTTTCATTTCGTCCCATTTTCTAAAGATGTCTAGGTCAGCGCAATTGCAATGTCAAATGTATCAGTACACGAGCATCGTGGACTTAGCAGTGGCAAAAATCAACGTTTGATAGGACTAAACATTCCTATAACTGTGAATGGGACGTTTAGGTATTAATTTAGCTTTCACTCCTAGGGCCACCAGGCTCCAAGAAACTTGAACAAATTGGGAGAAATAACCATTTTATGAAAGACTCGGAAAGGCGGAAAAGGGAGGTTACAGCCCCATGTTGCAGATCCTGTCATGGCTGCCGACGCCGGATTGCTTTCCGCCTACCGCAGGTCTTAATATTTTGGGATAGCCAGGGAACATCAATACTTATCCTTGTGCTGTCCTTCCCTAAGGAGTCCAAACGCACAAGTTTATTGCTGACGGGCTCAAGAGGCGAACGTCCTTTTTGGCTCTTGCCCCTCCCCCTCTAAGACAATATTGAGCATGTATTTATTAAGCTAACTTCGGCTATTTTTTCCAGTTAGCCAGTATAGCGTCATTTGAAGTGCCACGATAAGTCTGATTCTTGGAGAGGGTGGGGTTTAGGTGGATTCGCCCTAGCCTTTCGTGTGATATAAACGGATGCATAGATTTCCCCATAACAGCTCCGCTGTTTAGTAGCGTACTTGTGTGTGGAAAGTTTTCTCTGGCGAAACATCTTTCTTGACCAAATGATGTACGAAACTGGAGGTCGATCTCGAACCTGACAAGACCCCATCTGGGTCTTGTGACTTGTTCATTGGGTCTGAGTTTTTATGCCGTTTTTGAGAAGCCACGAATGACAGTGGCTCTCTGACCCTACTCCTGGTGACATTTCATTTATCACCAATCTTGAAACGCTTGAGCGCATGCGTGATCCGGAATATGGAACAAGTCAGATCTTCCCCCATCAAGAGACCATTGGCCATGCCTATGACCATGCTTCTACCCGCGCTTTTACAACTTTCGCCGGCCAGAGATGAATGGGATGTGCCTACAATAAGGCAGATATGGTCTGGGCCGAGGAGATCGGAGGGAATATTGGAGTTGAATTTTTTACATCATGCTGACAAATACGAGAAGTGCAAAAATTAGTTTTATCAACAGTCCGTTGTACATATTGGACAGTTTAAAATACGCAAATCTGAATGTATCCATTTCAATGAGTATGTAATGGAGCTATATCTCCGCACAAGTATGGTTTTTATTGTTCGGAATTGTACGAGTCTGAAAGACCTCATAGACGTTCTACGACTAAGTTTACTAGTAAGCGGTACGGATGGATGACCGATCCCAATTAGCATATTCCGTTGCGTACTTTGTCCCAAGAGGTTTCTGTCCTGGTTCACGTGGAATCGCTTGCAATCGGATAGCGGAAAGAGAACATGGTTGGGCAGAAGACTTAATATGAAAGAAGGAATCGTGTGAACGAGGACTGCGCTGGTCAACGGTAAGGGTCATTAGCCGTGATTAGTGGTTTCCTGAGAGCTTGTCGTAGTGACCGGACTACGAAGGATATTTGGAGCGTGGTTTTCTCGCATGGAAGAAGGCAAGCTTTTCACATCGTGGCTCCACTCCCCCTTCTCATGGAGTTTCTCTTGGCTCTCATCCTTCTTGCTTTGCTCCATTTCCTCCTTGTTGGGGAAACTTGCTTACGGTTTGCAGTTTCGCACCGATGAAACACTTGTCACGGGTAGGCCTTGTGTATTGCTCTGGGATCTGTGCGGATTCCCCCGACGGGTCATTTCCCCCCTCCCCCCGCCTTCTTGAAGGAGAGGCAGATACTGTAGCGTGATATCGCTTGAAACCTATTCGAGCTAATAAGGGAGTACACGGGATTACTGGAGTGTGGATCCCGCAAGCATCCCTCTCACCATGACAAAGCATTGTTGACAGGAGTCGGTCACGACAGAAGGCAGGTCAGTAAACCCTTAGGGATTCTCACGTGCAATGTCACGACGAAGGCGACTCAGAGTTCATACCAGACAGTCTGGCACCACATGTGTTTTTCCTTACACTATCTGTCTACATGCATCTTCTTGAAGGTCCTTGGTTTTTTTTTTTTCTTGGCCGCCATCCTTAATGTCCTGCTTGTCTTGTTATTGGCTTGAGGTAATCGCCATTGCAGAGCAGAAGAGATGCTGGAATCTCAACGAGTCTTGTTGGCCTTGGGAAAACATGTGAGGGGCACCTGCATTAAGGTGTGGCCTGGATAATTGGCCGCAGATCCGACACCAAAAACAGGGTTTTTACGTCATCTGAGGTTCCCTAGCTACGCTGATCCTTGTGCTTCTCGATAAACAGAAAGAAAGAGGTGTTTATTGCTGAAGAAAATGGCGGCATGTATGAAATGACCTCTGGTGAATATGGACGTGATGCATAAAATCATGCTGATGCTAGGGTTCCTTATCTCGGGTCTCGTTTCACGTGGAAGAATGCCAGGATCTTGAGTATAGAGTCGTTTTTGCCATTCGCCAGTTGGCTTCACGCCAGAGGGAACGAAAGAATGTGAATAATCCATCCGGAAGTTGTTCACGTCGTTCCTTCTCATTCCTTTTGATGAGAGGAACACGTCTATTGACAGGATATGCGAATCCCGCGAGTCTTCTGGAATGAGAGGAGGGAGAAGGAGTCTTAGTGAGGCTTGTCGATAACACCCCGTCGCTCTTCACCACGTGTCCTTGATTAGCGAGTCTGTCAAACGAGGAAAGGAATCACTTTAAGTGCCAGGCATATCGAAGACCTGTCAAGTTTCCCGTATCCCTATTGCTTCCTTCTCTTCTGCTTGTCATTCAAACGGGATCTGCGGTGGTGGATATCGGTTACGAGATTAGTGCAATCTCATCTCGAAGACCTTATGTCATCTGATTATGGACCGTAACAGGTTGACCGCCACGAGGCGCACCGGTGCGCCTCACTGAATGGGACCAATGGGATCAATAGGCCAACATTTCCGTGGTGGTCAACATGTTAAAGATGGTAGATACTTTTGTCTTGGACATCTGACCCGGGATGAAGAGTCCTGTTTGAGAAATGTTTAGGCGTGTGACTAGGTGTATTAGGTACATTTTCCCCTTGATTAGTAGGAGGCTCTTACGTCGCGTCATAGCGTCGCCCGGTTTATTGGCCGTATTTGGAATTTCTTCTTTCAGAAGTTCCCTCCTGTCGACCTTAAGAAATTCAGAATTTTCTGGAACTGAATATGATGCATAAACCTGAAAAGATGCCTACGTTTTCGAAGGAATATGGTTTTTGGCATGGGGGCTTGACTCCTCGCCTACTAAGGGTCTGGCTGTATCCTTTTGGAAAGCTATTAAGTTTCAAGTCTTCCTATTTGGTGATTCAACATGAGCTGTACCCTATGGTTCTCATCCTGTTGCAGAACGTGGATCACAAGATGAAGTTACGGAGCAAGAAGGGTCAGCTCCCCTTTGTGGAATTCAATGGGCAAGAAATTGCTGATTCCGCATTGATCATCAAGGAATTAGGGAAAAAGTTCAACAAAGATCTGGACACCGATGCAGGGCTGGAGTCCACGCAAAAATGTACAGCGCACACAACCATCGCTATGATTGAGAACCATCTGTTCTGGTATGTTTGAATATTTACTCATTCTTTATCAGACTGAACATATTGCTGAGCATATCCTAGTTATAATAGTGCTGATTCGACAGTTCTAGCATCGGGAGTAGTCTCGAAATGTACTGTTTTGCGACTTGCACGGAGTTGAGTTGCAAAAATGCTCGTTAAGCGTTACATCCATGACGGTTGCTCTAGCGCAACTTATGTAAACCTAATGAAGTCATCTGGTCCAGTCACGGGGTGGGCTCTTCAGCCCTAGTGTGGCGCTCTGTGATCTGTCGTTAGGTGGAGAACGGATGTGTCGGTGCACGATCTGTTATCTACATAATGAAGGTTGGGAGGGGTTGCAGCGCTTCAATGATGACGCACAATTGGCAGCAAGAGCCTTCCACTTCCTCTTCGAGTTGATTGTCTGCGCCTGCTTTGCTATCACAAAACAAGCTTATGTTGCCTTCCTGAGCATGGAATATCCGAGATGAGGGTCTTGACAAGGAAGGGTGACTTGTCTTCTTGAACTCGAGCTAACGCTTGAGCTTGTAGTGCAAAGTAACGCTAATTAGATGGAAGCGAGTTCTCACGAAAGTGTGCTCCCATAAATGCTTTGCCAGTGAAGGACGTTTCAATTATTTTGAAAGAGGCTAGTCAGCAGAGGGAGAGGGGAAGGGGAGGAAGGAAGGGAGAGAGAGAGAGGGAGAAGGAAGCAAGGCGGGCGGGTGAGCACTGGCATGATGCACATGAGGGCATGAGTCTGGACGATGGATCGATGGAGGGGGAAGGGTCGTTGGCTGGCTGGCGGGCGGGCGGGATGGCTGGCTGGCTGGCGGACAGGCGGGCAGGCTCGTTCCAGGGATGAATTGGGTAGAGCAGAAGGGGGAAAGTGGTGAGGGGAAGGGGGGGGGGGGGGGGAAACTGAGCTAGGGCTTGGCGCAGGTTTATATTCTTTCTGTATAGCTGCACGGGCGTCGAACGAGACTGTAAGCCGATTTGGTAGATGCAGTGTCATCCATTAACGCCCCCCTTTCGTCAGTAGGCCAATTTTCTCCAGACAGGAAGCTCGGGCTGTTCCGGTGATCGCTTTTGCCCCCCCCGAAATTGTTGCCATCCGATCGTGTTGCATATGAGCTGATTGATGAGATCATGAACACTGTCAGTGCCTGACCCTGACCCCGTCGCACATAGATCGCTGATTTTAATGGGTAGGGGAAGAAGCATATGATGGAAAATTAGCGGTTTGCCATGTCTTAATGGAATTTCTTGGATGCGTTGGTGAAATTCCAGTGTAAAGAGTGACTTAGAATGGAGGTCAAAGTAAACATGGTTGTCTCTTAATGCATGCTCAAAGCTTCAATGATTGCATGCATGGATATATTGTCAAATAGCTTCATTTCATCCATGGAGAATGCTTAATGGGGTCCCACACCCTGTTGTCACACTCAGCTGTGAATAGAGATTAATTTAACCCAGAAAGAGTCCCACAGCTTCTCCACAGTTCTGCTTTGGTTCTTGCAGTAGGTGGTTTTGCTTTGCAGTGTTCAGCCAGCCAGGATGATGGCATCTGGTAGAGGGATCATTTGAGAGCAAGTTGAAATTAGTTAACTTCCTCACTCCATACCTTCAAACAAATTTTTTCTGAAACTTCTTACAGCTTAGTATTTTTAAAATGCTCTATGGCAGTGGTTCACAATCTTTTTTTATTTGCAGCACACATAAGGACTCTTGAACTTTCCACAGCACACCCATCTGTTTACTTACTTTCAATGGGAAACTTGTGCTTGCTTCCCTGAACACAGCAGTTTGATACAAGGCATGATAGTGCAATTCTAAGCTTGTTTTCCACTGAGATACTTTTTCCTCTTGTTTTTTAGTTTTTTTTAATTATCAACTCTCAAATCTCACGGCACACCTAAGCCTTACTGATGGCACACACCGTTTGGGAAATGCTGCTCTATGGGGTGAATATAATTTGCAATTGATGTTAGAGGCCAAGACTTGCCCATGGGTTGCTGACAACAAATGAACCCTTCATAAGTATATAGCATACTTTAGACTGTTGCAAGATTAAAGCCCTTCCAGAATGAATGGTTCAGAGTTTGTCTTTCTGTCTGGTGTTCTGCACAGGTGAGTATGCTGTGAAGATTCTTGAATTGTTGTGGTCTCAGAAAAGAAAAAAAAATCCTTTCTGAATTGGTTTCTCATCTATCAGCATGCCAAATGCACTATTGCTGGTGAGTAGTTCAAAACCAAACAGCATAGGAGAAGGAACTTGTGGGTTCCAGTTATTCTCAGTGGTGGAAAACATGTTTTAATGCAAATTGCAACTAATTGTTTTAATGCAAAAGTACATCTGGTTAGTGCCTGCAACATTAGTTGAAGAGGAACATCTGTTCATTGCTCTTGAAGGGTTCTGTACTGGTGGAGGAGCAAAAATCCTGGCCAACTGCTCAAAGGAAGCAAATTCAACCTGCAGCAGGCTCTAGGATCCAAAATGCCCAATGGCCTCCTCTCATTTGTCTTCAAATGGAAATTCAGACAGGTGAGATGAAAACAGATAATCTCTTGGAGATGTCTCACAAATCGCCTGTTCATTATTTCCTCAGTCCTTTCAAACACCTTCCTTGAGATCTCTTTGGTAATTGTAGGGTCAGAAGAGAGTGAGAGCTCATGGCCTTGGTGTTCACACATCAAAGGAAATTGAGGAGTTTGGCCAATCTGACCTACAGGTGCTTTCTGATCTTCTGGGGGAGAAGGACTTCTTTTTTGGTGACAAGCCTGCCTTGGTGAGTTGCTTAGAATGTGGTGTGAACTTGCAACACTTTTGCCCCCATGTCAGTCTTTTTTGACTAATGCAAATCCAATACAGCAAAATCAGTCAGGTGGCAGAAGTTATTTTCATATTGCTGACTGCTTTATGTAGAATTGTAAATGGTATAAAATGAAAGCAAGTCATGTACTTTGCATATGTAGGACCTTGTATCCCCCCAAAATAAGATCCTTCATAGTTTAAGTGGAAACAGCTAAACGAGAGAAATTATTTATTTTTCACAGCTGGATGTTGTGGCTTTCTCCGTGCTGGCACAGTTTCTGTTTTTTGACAAGGACACACCGTTCCCCCTGCGTACTTGGTTGGAAGAGAATACTCCGAATCTTCAAGCCTTTGTGAATAGAATGAAAGACAGGTGAGTACATTAAGTTTTTTTCCTGTCACATGACCTGAATGGGAATGACAAGTGAACTAATTTAGCATGAGTAAATCTTTTTGATTGCTTTTTAGTGCCTTTCAAAGATATCGGTATGCATTGTTTGAAGCCATTTATATTTTCATAGGTATTATCCAGATTGGGATGAAATGTGCAAGACGCTTGATCTGAATACACACCTTCCAAAACCCCCTCCAGAGGAAAAGGAAGAAAAGGAGGATAAGGATAAGAAAGAGGAGAAGAAAGAAGAGAAGGTGGGTAACTTTTATCAATTTTGTGATGATTCCCCAAACAGAAATGCAAATGTGTTGCATCCATGACAGCTGCTCTAGCTCAACTAGTGTAAACTTAATGAAGCCATCTATTGGAAAGCAGAAGTAAGTCCAGTATGTAGAGTAACAATGTCTTGCTTGGCAATTCTAGTTCTTGAAAATTCTCCTGCAGTGGTAAGACCATAAGATGTAACATGTAGCATGTAACAGGAGCATTTGTTCCTGTGACATGTACCTACAGTAACATGGCTACTTTAAGGATGGTTTGCTCTTTGATGGCCATGACCTTCACTTATTCTCATGTGATGGATCTTCTCAATGTCTGATATATGCATGTGGAAATCACTCTTTCCCTTATTTCCCTTAGGCCGACGAGAAGGAAGAAGAAAAGAAAGAAGAAGAGAAGAAAGAATAAGCAGACATGTCCCAAATAGAGGTTATATCTGTGTATGCACCTCAGTGACTCATTCTAAGAGAAATTAAGCTGTGAGGAAGGAACTGGTTTCCCAGGTTCCCAGACCTGAGGTGACGTTCAAGGAAATCAAAAACTGAATTCAAGTTGACAGGGATCAGCCATGACAGTGTTGTGTGCATGTGTATAGTGCTCTGATGAGGTTATTGTGAGACTGCTTCATTGAAGTCATCTTGCATTTCCCTGTGTTCTGAGCTCCCTTTTTCTTTTTTTTTTTTTTTTTTTTTTTTTAGGGCATTAGGACAAATACCAGATTTTCTCACTAAGGGGGAACTTTTCATGATCTTGTGTTCATATTAGAATCTCCAGCCCTTGTTCTTGCAGGAATGCAGGATGTGCAAAGAATACTCACCTCCTTGGAGGGCAGACTTCTATAACCTTCACGCATTTGTTTTTCATTCCACTTGATGGCATTTGGACAAGTTATTTGAAAGCTGTTCTGACTTTTCCTTGTTTGTTAATTCTTTTGTGGCCCAAAGACAAATTAGGAATGAAATTTGCAGGATTTTATTTTTTAAAGTATATGGGGCTCAGTGTTTTGTGTACAGATATTAGGACTAAGTTTTCCAAGTTTTTGTCATGCAGTGTTCTCCAGATGAAATTTTGACCCTTAGAGGATGGAAGTGCTTGTGATAGCAGGCACAAGGGGAAGACAAGTAACAGTGAGAATTTATCTTGAAGTGTGTCTTCCATATTGGAGATTTTTGCATAGATTTGTCTCATGCACAATGTTAACCCAAGATCAATTGCAGAACTCAATCAACCTTCAGTTAACTGATCTGGCTAAAGTTTCTAAAAGGATGAGAGTACAAAATTCGTGGAAGTTTGAGGTTTTCTTCTGGGGACACTGTGTGATTGACTTATTTTCTTTGTTTTGTCCTCTATGCAGTTGCCTTTGTTTGGTGGTGACATTGATGTGACTTTTTAGCTGCATTTGATTTTGGTTTGCTCATTGTTGTAGTCAGAAAAAGGAACATTTTGAGGTGATTCGTGCTTACCAGATTGCTCAAACTTTTCATTTCTTCCCTTTCTATGGGAGAGAATCTTTCATCCCCCTCTCTTACATTGATACATAGTTTCAGTAGGATGCAATTTCTTGCCAAAGTTTCTAATCAAGTACAATATCCACCTTTCTTGAGCAACTCAAGGCACAATCTCAGACAGGAAATAACTGTGATTGCCTCTTTTTATGTGAAACAAAACCATACTCATTCTAGTAGGCAGGAATCTCAGCCCCTGCAAGTTTAGTGGCAAAGATCTGGTCTCATGAAAAAAGACAATGGGGTTGTCATGGTTATGGGAAAGGGCATCATGGGGGAAAGTTGAGTACATCAGACCCAGAAAGCTTAGGTCAGAAAATCCATGTTTGAATGTGATAATGAAAATCTCTTTGAAGGGTGGTAATCTCATTGTACTGTTGGGTTTAATTTCTTATTACTCTGGTCTCTGCAAAAATGTCGCCACCATTTAGCTGGTCGTGACAGCAGTGTGTGCAGCTTACGCTTGTTGTGCTATGATGTTGCATAGGTGTGTATCATTCAGATCCACAGCACTGTGTGATTTTTGTCGACTGCCATTTTTACATGCCGGAGTTTTTCATACTTTCCTTTTGCATTTTTCTTACACTGCTGCTGTGAATTAGAGAAGCAGGGAGGTGGAAAGAATCATCCCCGCTAGCATTTGTCTCATATAATGGCCGAGTTGTCGCTAGTGATGCGATTTCTTAAAAGAATTGATTAAACGTAAGCTGAGCCTGCCAATGTTGTGCTGACACACCCTTTCTATGTCTCTTCCTTCTGCACTATTCATTTGAATCTCAGATGTAGCAAAAGCCAACTTTTGGGATTTGCTTGGTTTGATGCTAGTGTACATATCAAGACAGGAATCACCACATGTATTGATGGGACATGCCTGTAGTAGTGTACTGATTCTGGACTCTTCAATAAATGTCTTCTACTTACATAATTATTTTTGTTCTTGCACTGTCACTATATATTTAGAGTCATGGTCAACAATACATCTGGGTCATTCAGTTTAGGGATCTGTTTAGCATGTCACATGGCTCTCCTCTTGAAGGCCATCATCTGGGAAACCTTTTTCTGTGAAGGGGTGAAGTGGCTGTTGCATGGTGAGCCCTATTGTTTACAAGTGGTCCTTTTCTCTTGCCTTGTGGAACAGGCAAGCTTTTTCTCCTACCCTCCTTAAATGCAATTATGCTTGTCTGAACTAGTGACATTTCCATCTATGAATGTGAGACTTTTCATAAATTAAGGACCATGGAAGATACTCCAAACTTTGCAGCGTTGCTTTTTTTCAAGTTGTAGGAGTTTCAAAGAAACTGTTTGTCGTCTCAGGAGCACACAAGCACAGAGCAGTTGGATATACTAATTGGGTTTTGTCCCAAACTTCAGGAATTATAGTGCATGGATTATTACTGCCTAGTCTGAAGTCCAACAGCTTATCTATTAGGATACAGCCAAAGTTACCTTAACTATTTCCAGATCAGTGATGCCATTAGAAGCACAGCCTTCATATTTCCTTTCCTTAACATTTCAGCTAAAAGTTTTCCATGCAAGTTGTGAAGTTCCTATCTTGTGTTTTTAGGTTGACACCTGTCAACCTAAAAACTGGGTCTAGGTGTCCCTTTGCAGTCTTGTGTTGCATGTATTCAAACAATTCAGAGAGGATTGAAGCAATTTATCTGCAAATGATTAACTGCTGATTCTGATTAAAGTGAAGCACTTTGATCAGAATCTGAGGTTATGGGGAATTGCACATTAGGGGCATTCTACTATCCTATCAGACTGGTGAGTGGTTTTCACTCTAACTCAGATGTTCCTAGCATCCTATATGTAGGACAGTGAGCATAGTAGCATATTTTAATTTCTGTAAAAAGTTCTTATTGCAGCTAGATGGTTCTTACATGGCTGAAATCAGCATTCATTACTTATCCATTACACCCATCTAGAGTGGGATTCAAGCTCTTACTTTGCTGCAGCAATGAGAGCAAGTTTAAGTTCAAATCCACTCAAGACATTCTCATGCCAGAACAATGAAAAGTTACATTTTTATTTTACAATAACTTGAAAATTGGCAGGTCCTGACTTGTGATGCTAAACATGTGAGTATATCATAGAGCAGTTTTCCAAATGAAGTCTTGTTTTGGGATGGCTGGTATTGACAAGTTTTTGTCATTGTTCACATAGGATGTTCAAAACATTCATGCCGTTTTTTCTTTGAAGTCTTGCAGTTATTTGCTTTTACTTCAATAATTTTCATTCTTTCAAATACTTTTTGTCCTATTTATCCCAAAAAGACAATTCCATTCATCTATAGAGGCCTTTTAAATGTATTTTTCTCAGGTCACTACAGAATATTTTATTGAAGTTTAATTTAGGCACATCTGGGTTAAGCAAGAAATAATCCACACACTGAAACTGAATCTTAAGTTATGAGACTCCAAGTAACTCCCTGGGTGCAAAAGGCTTCTAATTCTAATGTGAGAGGCCTATCAGCATAGCAATATCTTTTGCCTTAGTTCCCACAGCAAGAGGGAGTCAACAGGCTGGAATTTTTCCAGGAGCCAGAGTATTCAGCTACAGCCCATTCAAATTAATCATGATTCTATGAGAAATAGGTATTTGATATATGTGCCATATATGGGAAAAAAATACTTGATCATATCCTATTGAAATAGTCTTCTCTTTCTGCCTTTTGAGAGCTGAGGAATGATAGAAGTCTTTGCCTCTGGATATTTTGCAAGTTCAGTTGCTTCAATGGAACATGAGCTTCAAGGGTGAACAAAAACACATGTATTTGACAACAATATAGACATTCTGCTCATATGTTTTGTACAAGTTGAGTGCTTCATTTTTGTTATCTGGGAGTATGATATGGGTTTTATAAAGATGTTGCCCTTCGAAGCTTCTGATAAGTGCCCAATATGTGTGTGTTTGAACTTGATATATGTAGCTTCATCCAGCAGGCAGATGTAATTTATGCAGCCTGGGAGAATGAAGAAAGTGTGAACACAAACATTAATTTGCAATGAGGAACACTCAAGCTGCAATTGACTCATATATCAATATGTGGAAAATACATGCCCAACAGTTCCATTTGGCACCACTAAATTTTTAAGACTTTTTCTAGCTTCACAGATGGACTTTTTTTGAATGATGGCTGTCCATCTTGCCACAATAATATAAGCCACCTAGTTTGTTTACATTGAGTCAGTTGTGTCTTTGCAAGCAATTGGGCAGATCTTAGTGAAGGTACCTTTGAGGTTTTGGAAAATGTAGGGAATGAGCTACTCCTTAGGTTTTGCTAGATGAATCATGAAAAGTAGCACAAAAAAAGGCAATAAATATGCTATATAAAATGAGGACTGATTGCTAGCAGAACTAACATAATCACAACAGTATAAATTTAACTTAAATAATTCAAATTCCAAAAGAATTCCAAAAGGCACTTCCATTTCCTAAACCTTGTTGAATCCATAAAAAATAAATTATATTTCCTGGAAATAAAGCAGCATTATTGGATAGTTCTCTGTTCAAAAATCCACCCTAAATTTTTCCTACCCATAAAACATGATTTAGGGAAGAAGGGTTAAGAGGGCTCCTGTAGTTGGCCTAGTTTGAAGGATAGGCTGCTGTACTTGTTCACTGTGCCACTGTGGTGGATAAGGGCAGTGCAGTGGATGCACACAAGTCCACTGCACTGCATCCACCATTTTGTGCCATGTAATTGTCATCTAAGCTTGATTGCAATAGTGCAACTTCAGCGTGCCTATAATGATGAATAGATGACAGTACCAGATGTAAACACAATAGATTTATTCCAGCAATGAGATCCACAAAAATAAGAAAAAAATACTGAGGAAACACAAATTGTTTCATGGAAGCTGCTTCATGAGATGAACAGTGACTAGATGACAATTTTCAGCAGTTAGTTAGCTCAAATAAACTCTAAGAAAACAGTTAGGGATATTGGTGTTGCTCTGCAACAGGAAGGAGGTTCTTTGGAAAACCTGTATCCTGAAAAGTAAATAAATAACAGGGAGCTGTATTCAAGGCCCCAGTGTTGCCAGCAATAATAAAGACACACATGTTCATTCTCAAACAATGTTTGGTCTTTACTCAGATCATGCAGATTTGATATTCCTAACTTTTTTTTAGAGTTTACATCCTTCATTACTTGACAGGGAATAAAGTAGTCCAACAGAATGCTAAGCCTCCTGTCAATGAACAGATCTTATGTTCCACTGAATTTACTATTTTTGAAATATTGAACACAAGTCCAGACTTGTGCACACATAATAAGCAACCAAATTCCATGTCAGGAAAGTGAAGCATAATATAGCTCCCTTGATACATGATTGAACCTCATTCTGAAACAGAGTTCTTCCTTCTTGTACTTCCAAGCAAAGTGAAATGTACAAGAAAATACATTCCCACATTGTATTCTTGAGATTCTGCTTGAGAAGGCTTGTGATTTCATTTGAATTTGCATAATTGGAAAATTTTGTTGGTTTGTATTTCAGGCACAATTTGCTTCCTCTCGGCAGATCATTTGCCAAAAGTGTCCATATCACTTGAAAAGTAATAATGGTGGGTGCTTGAGATTCTTCTGAGATTCTGCATCAAGACCAGAATCCAACATAGAAGATTCAGGATTCACTCATCTCTGACCTGTACAGTTCAAATCTGCTGAAAGAAAAGAGATGCATGGATCTTTCCAGCCCACATACAAGCATCCCATTTCAGACCTGAGATATATCAAAGTTGCTAAAATAAAAAAGTAGGCTTCAGTAGAGACCTTAGCTGCAGTGATGCCATTTTCTAATTGGTATGGCAAATCCACTAGGCTTCTGAACTACATGATTGGGTTTGAGCACACTTAATTTCAATGGAAGATGACAATCACTATGTAGTGATCTTATCTAAGATAGTTTGGAAGAAAAGCTCCACAAACTACTTCTCCTTAAAAAATCTCACAGAACTCAGATACAATGATATTCAGCCACTATTTGATAACAATGAATTGACTTATGGATTTTGTACCTCTATAACTTCAGCATACATTTTACAGATGTGGATATAGATGTGCATGCAAGTTTGTCATGCTTCATGAGAGATGTAGCACATCTACCCATGGTATAAACTCAACTTCCATTTAAAAAATCTATTTTGAAATTATTGAGATACAAAAGCCACAAGTAAATTTTTGGCCACACTTATTCATAACCAAGGAAACTATGGATTCTCTCAATCTGGAGAGAAGTGGTGCTGAACTGTGAAGAGAGCTTGCAGGGTACTTTTAAAAAATCTTTCATGAAGGCTGCATTTGGGGAGATTCAGAACAATAATGTGAACACATTACAGCTCTTGCAAGCAGGTACCAATAAACTGACAAATGCTCCACAAGAGGTATGGCTAAAAAAAAAAAAACCAGAATGAAGCACCATAAACTTTTCTAACTTATTTTTCACTGGTACACTAATAGCAAAATGCCACAAAAAATTGCTGGGAGACTACTATGTTGGAAAGGTGGAAAAAGTTACAAAGGTTTGAGAACTATCAAATTCGTTTAAATATGGCCTACATAGCAATGCTCTATCAGATAATTACAAAGGCAGATACAAAGATGAAAAGACCATAGCAAAAATAGCATAGATGGAATGCATTCATTGTCAGATTCCAACTGGATTAACCCATCGGTCAATTTGGTAGCCACTTATGGCTCCTCCTTGATGCTAACAGAAACAGATTGCCAGGAAATAAACTTAGCACATCCTGGCCAAAAAAGGACGATAATCATGCAAATGATGAATGACATGATCTTACAATTTCAGACAAGTTGGGGTGAGACCCTCTACTTCATGCACTACTGGTACAGTTTTAAATTACTGCAGGATGAGATTTAAAGACTTAAAGATCCAAAGCTAATTCCCTTTGTAAGTCAGAGAATAGATTATGAGTAATAATAGGGCAAGATGAAAGCAGCAAAAATCTTAGTTTGACTAGATTGAAGAGCTGCAAATCATGCCAGAGGATTCAGGAAAAGAATGAAGCCCAATTGTATGCCAATGAAGATTGAAATTTCATAGAATGCATATGAGCTATGCTTATGCTACATAAAAAAAAAGGCTCTTCGTGAGTTCACTCTTGCTTCAATGACAGAATGGAATGGATTCCTGCAGATGGAATTAGCTGGCATGAATTATCCTTTGCATCAGGAATGATAAACTCAAGCAAAATGAGTTTAACAACCTCAAACCATCTGTAATGAGAAGAAATGGATGGATTGTCTATTAAAATTCACCTACAATACTTGAATATTCGCCTCTACTGAATTGTGCAAGCAGAAATGAAAAAATGGCAGGCACATATGAAAATGCCTCTTCCAGCACAAGTGACATTTAAGTCAAAAGGCACCCTAATAGATATAGGGTCTTTTGCATCTCCTCACAAGTTCTTCATGTGCTTTGTTTTCTTGATAAGAAGGCAGCAGGATGAGAGGCTTCCCAGTTCAGAGAACTCAAGGGCATATCGTGGATAGAGGATGCGATCTTCCAAAATCTGCAACAAATGGGTAATTATGCCAATTAGATTAACTGAACACAGTGAGAATGACATGAGTTCCAATAAACTCATTGCTGGAGTTCTATTTCTTAAAAAAGTTTGAAAAGAACATACTTTTACAGAATCAGGAAACTCTTCCTTGGCTCGATGCAGGAGAACATTGTTGACATAGAGGACATTGGCTGCTATATCATCTGACACAGTCAGCTTCTGGTATTGGAAAGTTGCTTCTCGTTCTATCCTCTACAAGAAAATAACCACCCAAAATGTCAAAATCAGTTAAAGCAGTATACAAGCTACAAAAATGCACATGAAGATCACAGACCTTGAGAAGTTTCTGAGCAGATTCACCACTGCCGACACTAATTACGTCTGGGCCAGCCATTGAAATAAGATTCTTCAAATGACAGTTGTCACCCAGTTTGATAGGTGTACAGGGGAACTCTGGGAAAGCTGATGCTACAGCAGCAGCTCCTCCTTCATTAGTGTTTGTGGAAAGCCCAACGAAGAACTCTCGTCCTGTTAAGTTAAAGGTTGGGAAACTATATAAAACATGGTATTCATGGAATGTTAGACATTCTTTACCAGCAGTAAAGATTACACACAATAAATTTTATGCAATCAACTGCAAGCTGATAACAATTCCCTAAAATGGATTGCATGTCATACATATGAAAAGATTAAATATTCCAGAATCAATATATAGTACATTTTAGTCATGGGTTTTGGATTTAGTTCATTAATCCCTTAACTAAAAACTGCTGCAATTTGTCTATTTTTGTTCCATAAATAAACTTCATACTCAGATTTGACAATCAAATCTGATGGAAATACAGTTGAACTTGGTTATAGCATCATTGAAGGGACCAGGAAAAAATTGTTGCATTAACCAAGGTTGCCTTTACTGACATTCTGTTTCCTTTTTTCAAAAAAGATGCTGTACACATTTTTAGTGCACATCAGTCATCTTGCACTGACTTCACTTCAAGCGTTGGCCCACTAATTGGCCCACATTAACATTTGTAAGGATTTGTTGACGTCATCTCGAGCAGATAAGTTTCTTGTTTTGTGGCATGTTCTCCAGTACAATGACATCTATTTCCACAAATTTTCCAAATTGTGGAAATAGATGAACTATAGAAATAGATGTCTATGTTCATGAGAGACATCAGTTTTACTTCGTCCACTTTCTATTAAACGAATTCTGAATTTTTCTCGTTAATTGCGAAAGCTTGCCACTTTAGCTTTTCACTGGCCATGTTGTCAACAAGAAATGCAAATGACGACTGAGGAGAATATGATCTTTTTAGTTACTGGAGATTGTCCCTTTCTTACCCTCCTCCAGCCACACCTACATGACCCTCAAGGAATGCTGATTTCCAGAAAGATGAAGTTATGGCTTGCCAAAACTTTATCTTTCACTCACTCTTTCGATGTCAGAAATTCCAGTTAAGAATGACGAATTGGAGATGTCAACATTGTCTATTTTGTCAGTGGGACCTTGAATGGACTTCATCACAACAGAGGTAAAATGTCACATACCTTATGAGCTCTACACTAGGACCTGGTGCTCTTTGTCGTTATAACTGAGGTCATTATAACAGAGTTCTACTGTACCAGTTTCAATCTCAGTTTCACTGCCAAACAATTTTATCACTTTCACCTGTGTAATTATCTCCCTGAAGACTTATCAAACTTAGTTTTATGTAAAGTTAGACTTTTCATATAATACCAAAGGACAAGGGCCTTGCATTTGAAACATATGGGGATTCTCATAAGGAAAGTGACTTTAAATTCTCTGATGGAAATTCATTGCCTATATTCACACAACAATCATGATAATATTTACATTTTCCCCCTTGTGGACTGGTGAAAGTTATCTAGCAAAGGAAAACTTGTCAATCATAACCATTGACTTGAACTTCCCAATAAATTACTAAGCATCATTTCAACCCTTCCCTCTATTTAATTCAGTCTCTACATGATAATTATTTTTATCATCAGACACTTCCAGCACCTGATCAAGTAATCATGCAGAAAACACTCTAGGATTCATTTAATAAAAGTTGTCTAGGTTGTTTGGGTAAAGAGCAATAAATGTTGAAACAGAGAGGAAATTTTCACTTTTCTAATATTGGGAGGGGGTAATTTCAGCAATACTCTACAGATGTGTCTCATCTGTCTCCAAGAGCTTGCTTCCATTATTCTGTTTGTGACTGTTACATTATGATTTTTATTGCAATTTTATTATTTTTGCAGCATCATCATGTCATAACTTGCGAAGAAGTCACAGCATGAAATGGGGTATTTTTTAAAAGAGCTGGAGAGGGAAGAAACTCCATAGAACAGAGCTCACAATTTCATAGGAAACTCTCACTATTCTCTACCTTCTTCAGTTGTTACATTCTGAGCACATAATCAAATTCAGGCTTCACCTTCCCATGTTAGGCCTAAAATGATTATAAAATAAAGAATTCTATGACAAGGATATGGAATAAAAAGCAGCCTTCATGGTGTCAAAGGAGAGAAATCTTTGAGCAGTGCTGAGATGGCATCAACCTCATGCATGAAATGTTTTTTTTTTTTCTGACTGCACTTAGAATGAATATTGCATTTTATCCAAACAAACATGACACTTGTAACTTTCAGGAAACAGATTTTTTAGAGTTTCCAATGTGATGCAAAAAACATTATGAATCTAGAATTTCCACAGTGGGTTTCATAAGGCATCAAACATGCTTTTTTTTCGTTGCACCATCTGATAAATTGAAATGATAGAAATGGAGCATTATAACATTAATAGTAATAGTAATAATTACATTATGTGTAGAAAACCTGGTGGAAACAAAAAATGAAGTACATGGCTTGTATAATCCTTATGAGGAAGGACATACATTCATAAATTGTAAACTTGACAGCTCACTCCTATGTAGTATGACCCAACAAACAACACGATATTAAAAAAAAATTACTTGAAAGAACTTCACCTGTAAAGAGTACATCACCTCCATCCAATGTTGCATTTGGATCAGTCACCTCCATGATGTAGAGGTTCAGTTCCTTCTTCAAAACTGCTCTAATAGCCTCCGTCTTCAAATACAAAGAACAGACAGTTGAAGCATATTTATTTTACCTGATTCAACAGAACCACTTGCACTACTAAAGTGTGAATTCAGATTAATTTGAGTTAATACAGTAAAAACTAATTCCATGATAAGACCTGTCCAAATGTTAGCAAAACATACAAACCCAATTTGTAGAGGTACAGGGTGAATAAAAAATGCTGTGCTTAACCTCATGATATGGGCATTTGAATTCCCATGTGTCAGAATCAAAGTTTTTCAAACTCAACTGAAAAACTTGCATTTAGGTGTTTGCTGCCTAGAAAGGGTGTGGTGCAATGTTCAATACAAGCTAATTTTTACATATTTAAATGACACATTGAAACAAACTAATTAGTATAGTATAGAAAAAACCAAGAGTTCAATGCAGTATCCAAATCACTTCCTTTCAAATTGTAGAAAGAAGTTCCTCCAACCAATTTATTTTCCCATTGATTTACTTTTTTTACCCAAATTTCTTGACGTCTTAAGTATTCAAAATTTTCCCATCATTACTCACTGTAACTAACAGATTCCTCCTGTCTTCCATATTAAACCAATCAAACTAAACCTTTTGATATGCCACATAAACACAGTTTATATAAAACTAAGATTTAAAAAATGGCTTTAAAAATTAAGCTAGTGTAATTCAAATCCATGCCCATGCAGCTCAACCCTGCATACCACACCTCTGCAGTCTACACTCCCAACTAGGCCACAGAACATTGCTTGAGATGGTCTATGCTGAGTTATATGTGGAATCAATGCTCTAGATTACACATTTACAGAGCCAATTTTTAAATCAACCAAGGCCTTGGAATCTTCAGTACTGACAATATGACAATTATGGTCTTTGATTGCTTGTGCTTTCAGTGCTTTAGTTATTACTTCACCCTGGAAAAATTTTAACCTTTGAAAACAGAGTTATCAGCAATTTAGTTATATCAACCCACAATTTCATTGGTATTTTCTTGGCTCCTGTTGCCATTATAAAAAAAAATTATTTTTACACTTAGAATGTGCAATTTTTAAGACACCCTGTGCATAACTAGTGCATAGTTTGGAACTGTGTTTGGAAACCATGGTCCAAAGTAATAAAAACGGGTTTGGGATTGATCTGAACAAGCCTACATGAAATGCACTTTGATTCCATGACATTGTGACTAGTTTTGACATTCAATGAACAAACAGTAACTCAACCATGAGTAGGCACAACACCTCCAGTCATGTGCTGATAATGACTATGGAAAAAGCATTTCCCCTAAAACTGTCAGAAGGCGAAAACACTTACATCTGGAATCAAGTAAATCCTAGTTCAGTCAATGCTGCGGGCAATTATTAAGTCTCATCCTAAGCCGATTTGGGAATTAGATAACTGCATCCTTGACTATATTTCAAACTGGACCCGAGCCCTGAGTTTGTGGGATTCTTGCCTCTTACTTCTCGTTTGCGGGAAGCTGCTGCAGGTTTCGCTATTAACGCTGCCCCATTGCATACGATAGCACAGTCTTCAACATAGGGGCATGAAGGTATCAACTCGTCAGCAGGCATCTCGAGAACGTCAAGTCCTACGCTTCTCAGAGCTTTCACATACTCTTCATGCTGCCGACGAGCTCTGTCAAGGCTACCTTCCTTGCCATCTCGAGGTCTCCAGGAATTCGGGAGTCGGCAGACCACTGCATGAGTGCATTTGAAGGATGCCATCTTGTTCGTAAGTGCGAGCATGGCTGCGTGCACTAGTCGTAGGATTGCCTGAAGAGAACGAGGCAGAGGCAAACTAGGACCATCATATGTTGCTGACATACGATAGCCCTATAATAGGTTATCCAGTTAGCCTGGACCTAGGATCGACCTTCATGCACGGTACGCCTATGATGCAGATAGTTAATAGAAGTAGCTTAATACCATTACGAAATGACATGTACAGGGTGTTCCATTTAAAACGCAACCCAAAGTACAACAGCAATAAAACATGACAAACGAGTCGTTTGATAGTTTTTGTTGGGAAGAATATTACAGGAACGTACAGAACAGCTTCACAGCAGATGCTGAAAATGCCCACCACCTTCTCGAAGACAAAACTTCATTTTTGTACCGTAGTACGTGATTGTTGTTGGGTTGCGTTTTAAGTGGAACACACTGTAGAGCAAGTAGTACCCCTTGCCGAACAAAAATTTGATTCAAAAGACCCAGCTGACGTTATACCCTCGAAGTACACAAGGAATCTTCAGAGAAAGCTTTGGGAATATCTTGACTAAACAGGAAGACCTATCACTTATCTATGATAGGGTGACCATATTTTTTTAAAAGGAAAATCCGAGACATTTTCCCTCCATTTACGGTTGACAACAGGCTGATGAGTTGCTTGCTACAAATGAGTGGCACTGAAAAGAAAATTTTCTGGATAGTTTTCTGAGCAGGGCAGTACCTCAAAACCAGGGACTGTTCCAGAGAAAACAGCCTGTCCCGGTTTTACCAGGATGATCTGGTCACCCTAATCTATGAAAATAACGTTCCAAAAGCAGATGCTTGGACATCATATATGTATTATCCACACATTTATCAAATGTTACAAGCAAAATAGCAGCATCCTGTATACACCTGGTTCTCTTCTATCCCCTTAATTATCTCAACTCCCCTTCTCCCATACAAGGATAATTTTGGCACCAGTGTCAAATTATGGAAGTCCTGAGCATTATATCAACTCTCCCCAACAAGAAATCAGTTGGTCTGGATGAGATTCCTACTTCTACATTAAAAGCAACAGCCCCTATTATAGCTCAAGCACTAGCTTGTATAATTAACTGCTCCTTAAACGGAGGGAATCTTCCCAAGTTTACTGAAACAAGGCATAATGATAGTCTTACAAAAAGTCTCACACCAGAAAATATTTCATTACAGACCTATAACCATCCTCCTAGCTTTCTTTAAAATCTTTGAAAGAGCCATACATTCCGGATTGTGTAACTACTCCCCCATACAATTTTGCTTTAGAAAAGGCCTCAACACTCACAGTGCTATTCTATAATTCCTGCACTCTACTAGATGCTATTGATACTGGTGATGTCCCTATGGATGTGCTATATGACATCTCCAAAGCCTTCAACAATATTAGCCATGGAATCCTTAGAATATTAGAATTTTATGGCAATAGAGGCATCCAAAAATGTGGATATCATCCTTCCAGTCTGATAGGACTGTATTAATCCAGCACTAAAATAAATTTTGTGATGATTCTTATCTAATCTTATTCATTGCACAGTTGGAGTCCCATGGGGTCAGTCCTGGGCCCTCTCCTGTCTTTTGTGGATATATATGAACAGCCAAATTGTGCCCCTTCTGGAAACTTCTTTCTCCTTCCTGATGACACCACAGTGCTGCTCTCTCAAAGTGTACTAGATCAGCAACCACAACTTCATGAGTGTTTGACAAATCAATGGACAACTTTTAAAATAAATGGTTTCAAACTTAACATGGAAAAAATGCAAATCATAAGTTTTGGGCAGAATGAGACCCAAAATTCTGTTGTTTTTTTTTTCCTACCAGACATCTCTCAAACTCCTTGGAGTTCACATAAATGATAAATTAAAATGGGACACACTTGTAGAACATGTCTGCTATCAGCTGAAGGTAATTATTGCCTATCTATGAATACTATCAAACCTCCTCTCTCAAAAAGATATAATATTCATATATATTGCTCTCTTTCAATCAAAAATCTAATACAGAATATTGGCCTGGGGGTTGATTACATACAAGATCTACCATATACTCCATTTACAAAAGCAAGCTGTTAGAACCATCATTTTCATGTGGAGTAAGGAATCATGCAAGCCCCTCTTTGAGAAACTCAGGATATTGACATTCCCTGCCTTGTGCTATTTCATATCCTAAAATATACAGGGTATGACCAAAAAAAAAGACCAATGACTTTTAGCTTTATCAGTTCAAAATGGAGCTATTTTTGCAAAACTTTCCTATGGACATATGAGCACAATTCTTAAATTTTCATTTGAATTTGTTGAGTCTAGGTAATGCTATCAGCAAATATTGAAAAAAAGTTAGACATTGAGAATGGACAAGAGCTCCTTCTGGTAGTGAAGTGTTGGACACAATTGAGCATTGTCCCTTCTGGTCATCAATGGTCTTGCATTTAAATTCATTCTTTGGGCTGGCTGTCTCTTGCAGATGGTTTTCATAAGCTTATTCCCAATGAATAGCAGATGAATCAATTATGAGTGCCAATCCAGAGAGTTTCTCAAAGTTCTTCAAAATTTACATTGGGTTTTATGAAGGAAGTGTCCATTTCAAATGTCAAATTTGTCATAGAATATCATTTATAACTTTGATTTGAAGTAATGGACTTGGGCAGCATTGTTGACTTTGAAATAATTGAAGGCATACTTCACCCACAGCACATTTAGTGAGAAATGCCTTGTGCAATCAAAAGAAACACTCAAAGTCCTTGGTCTTTTTTGTCATACCGTGCAAGCTCAGGTTGACATAAACCAAGGGAAATGTTGAATGAAATATGTGAAAAGTCTCTGGATATTCATATCCATTTATTTATCTGCTATTCCTTTAGAATGAAAACCATCTGGAAAAGATGACCAGCCCAAAGAATGAATTTAAATGGAAGTGGAGCTTGATGTGGTCTTTATGACCAGGAGGGACAGTGCTCAAGTATTTTCTCCACTCCACTACCAGTAGGAGCTCTTGTGCATTCTTAATATCTAACTTCTTGTCAATAATTGCTGATAGTATTGCTTTGACTCAACAAATTTGAATAAAATTTTGAGAATCAATGGGAAACATACATATACAGGGTGCCAGGAAAAAAAGTACACCATTATATATTTATAATTTCTTGGTAATTAGGAAACCAAACTGCCTAAAAATTTGAATAAAAATAGTTCAATGGAGGAGTGTTTCCTGACTAATTGAACTCTTTTTATTCAAAATTTTAGGCAGTTTGGTTTCCTAATTACCAAGAAATTATAAATATATGATGGTGTACTTTTTTCCCGGGCACCCTGTATATGCATAGTAAAAGAATACAGCATGATTTCAGATTTTGTTTTGTAAATGCTGGAATTTTATCTACTTGGCATAGGGCTGCTAAGTTAAGGTGATTTGTTTATATGGAAAGACATCATATTATAGTTATGCTGTGTCCCAGTACTTGCCTTTCATCCAGGATATCAAGATTAGGTTGAGTAGTTTTTTAGAGTTCTTTGCTAGGATTGCTGAATCACTAGCCATTGATCAACTGCCACTTGTTGGCAATAAGCTTACCAACCAATCTTTTCCTTGATAAAGGAGATGCAACCATATTTTTCATGAATCTTCAACTAATATAACCTGAGCTGAATTTTTTGCACATCATTTTCAACAATTAGGAAAATTTTCTGAGAAATTTCAGACAAACTTTAAGTCATGCATTGTGACTCTTCAATATGAATGTGAAAAAATTGCTAGTGGAGATAGCTGCTGGCATATGGGCTTGATAGCCCATGCCATACACACATGCCTACCACCACCATTGCTTATGCAGTGGTACACAATTGATCATCAAACCACTTATGACATTTCATGCATACCATTTTGTTAACTGTAACTTTTTATATCCAGCATTGAAAAGTCAGTGTGGAACCAAAGGTATTTTGTTGTCTGAAATTAAAAAATCTCGATTAGTAAATCTTTAGTACATCTTTTTTGTATTCCGAACCGACCATAATCAACTTCTATACAAGTTTTTATTTCACCGTGGAGAAAATAACTCGGTACCACACATTAATTGGACGTCTACTATTTAATAAAATTGTCAGCTGTCTTAACATTCTGTGACACCCTGGTTATAATAGCCTGAAATCTTTATTTCCCTGTGTCTCACTTTACTAATCATGCTCTAACCAAAAAATCAAACTACTCAAAACTCAAAAAATGAATATGAAGGAGAATCTTGTGGGCCAATTATGACTCAGGTATCTTTCCAATATTACTTTTGCTCTTTTCTGACCTTCCCCTAGGTTTTCATGAATTCTTCAAACATGTTTTCCCACTGTCTAAAATTCTGGACATATGGGAAGCTCTTTCATGCCACTGTCAGAAAAAGGTAAAATATGGTGTAGTGTCAACTCCCTATATGAAAACAGCATGCATTCTGGAGGGAACAAAATGCAGCCAGTGTATCTAAGTTTACCAGTTGAAGATGAGTGGCGATATCACCATCTCTCGCCAAAATCCTGGGGAGGGAAAAGTTTTTTTCGGGTGAGTAATAAAATGTTTTCCCTTCCTTCTCTGATTTGGCTTATTTAAAATTTAAAAAAATATGGGATGCCTTACACTAGCCTTAACCCTTTGCACTTAGATTTAAATGGCATGGTCTGCCCCAGCAGCTCAACTTTATTTTTTTTAGGCCATTTAAACCTTTCTACATTTGTAACAGTAAAACCTTTCTACAGTAATTTTCTGTGTACATGAAGACTGTAGATGTCCTCCAAAGATTGTTGATTAAGATCCAACATATGAGCAGAACTCAATTTTTCCTTATGTTGGAAGAGGTCAGATAGATGAGTGGAAAAGGTTAAGGCCTACATTTTTAGCTTCTTGGTAACCTTGAATTTCTTGGTAGATGTTAATGCATACAAACTGTCTGATGTAGTAGTCATTACGACAACTAGAGAAGATCCCTACCTCTGTTCACAGTTTCTACTTTACCTCACGTTACTAAAACCGTACATATTACAAACATTGTCATTGACACGAAATCATTGAAATGACAGCACTTGAAGAAGATCGGATAGTTGAGGATGATTCCCCTGCTGCACCAAAGAATGTTGTAAGTCATGTTTGAGAATTTTTTGTTGTATCCCATTTCACACTAATAGGCTTTGGCTTAATGGAAACTGTCTTTCTTTTTTTTTTTTTTTTTTTAACATTCCAGGACTTGCATAGTCCTCATCTTTTATCTCAAATTTTATTTTAGGTTGTCCAGATGTCAAATACTGATCATATCACAAGTAAGTCAACCTCATCTTTTGCCAAGCAGCATATGGACATTGCTCAAGAGATGAAAAATGATAAAGAACTGCAGCAGGAACCCACTGCAAAGTACCCTCAGCCAATGAAATTTCGAGGTGAGTAATAAATAGCTAACATTTTGCATTACTTTTGATAGATTTTTGAGTGCTTATAATGAGCATGGTGATATTATCAGGACCAAAAAATGAAAGACAGGAAGCTGTGGTGAAAGCATTTCACCATGCCTGGAATGGATACAAAAAGTATTCTTGGGGCCATGATCATCTTCTTCCACTTTCTCAGTATCACCAAGATTGGTTTGACATGGGGCTGACACTTGTTGACTCTATTGACACAATGTACATAATGGGACTACAAGAAGGTGAGCCATTAAAATATCCAGAATTATGTACTATAATGAGGTTGGTTGTTCCTCCCCTCCAGGAGATCTGTGTTATTCATCACTCTTTGCTGCATGAAATGAACTTTCATTTATCTAAGTGTGTGCACCCTTACTGTATGTGGCATTCCTTTCTGTTAACTTTGTTTAAAAAAATGCTGAAAAATTTTCGCAATGATGGCAATATGACTAAGGTGATGAAAACTGATGAATGACAAAAACTCATGGTTGAATGAGCAATGAAAACTCAATGAATGTGGCTGACAATTTTAGTCAATGAGGCAAGACAATGCCATATTTGAAAAATATTTTCTAACATTCTTTGGTAATGCTGGTATCCATAAGCTCTTACCAATGTGACATCAAAACTTTTGAAATCCATGAAATGTCAAGATGGTGAGTCATATTTTTGCTAGGAAAAATTCTCCTGCATCAGTCTTGATGCCCTTTAAGGTTCATCTCATTCCTGGAAAATACATAATGTAGATCAGTTATTGACTTATGGATTACAACAGCATGTGCAATATCAACCGTAAGGTCCTATGGTGGGTATGGTCCTTCTGATAATAGACATGTAAAAAATGTAGTCCCATTAGTTACTAAACCATTTCAAACTGCAACAATCAGGTCACTGTTGTTAGCATTGATGGAAAGAATGTTCTTTAAATTATTTTAAAATAGTAATGATTTGGAATCAGACCCAAACAGAAATTTCTTCAAAAGCATATTAGAATGGTATACTTCTTTAGGGCAATTTATGCTACACCTTGTTGAATCCTCTTCTACAAAATTCCTAAACTTGGTTTTTAGCAATTGGTACTTTGAAAAGTACCAATTGCTAGTTATTGGTGACAATTTTATTTATTTATACTGGAAAATGGTATTGGCTGTAATTTCTATATCAGTACACCTGAAGTATACAACATAGTTGTTCACAAGTTGTTCCTGCATGCATCCACTGCTTTGGATCATTGTTAGGAGATTGTGTGATGGTCACACATCAGTGAGCCTATTGCTGCTCAATGGGAACTGAGGAATGAATAGGAGTTCTCATAATTTACTGATTAGTTTAAAAGTGTTCTCTTTTCTTATTTCAGAATTTCAGGAGGCTCGAGAGTGGGTAGCTAATGGTTTGAATGTAGCTGTCAATGAATATGTGAATCTTTTTGAAGTTATCATTCGAGTTCTTGGTGGTCTTCTGAGTGCATATCATCTCTCTGGTGACCCTCTATTCTTGACAAAGGCAGTAAGAAGCATCAATAATATTTTGGCACCTGCATATTTCAAGCTTTTATTAATTTGAGAGTTGCTTTACTTTGCATGTAATTTCTTCTTTCACTCCAGGAAGAGTTGGGTCAGAACCTCATGCCAGCCTTTGCCCTTAGTGGAAGTGGAATTCCATTGTCAGATGTGAACCCATACTCTCGGCATGCAAGGAGCCCCTCATGGAGCACTGCTAGCAGCACCTCAGAAGTTACCACAATTCAGCTAGAATTGCGTGCTTTATCTAGAGCAACTGGAAACCCTTTATTTGAGGTGCAGGAATTATAATTACTCTTCTACTTTAAAACTACCCTAATTGCAGTATAAAAAGTGATAAAGGGGGAGCATTGAGAATAGCCACCTTTGTTTATAAGTTGATATTTAAATAGAAAAAATAGACATATTAGAACAGTCAGTGTAGGGTGCATGAATGGTCAATTTGCTTTTGTCCACTATGCTAATGCCAACAACTAGTTACATGGGGTGGCTAATTTTTATTGAAGTTCCCTCTCAAGAAATCTCATTTCATTGATTTGTTTCCTTTTGAATGGTTGTTGTCAGTCTTATATATTGTTACATTCTGGATTATATCAGAAAGCAGGTATGAGAGTGAGTGAAATTGTCCATGAGTTGCCAAAGATGTCAGGCCTAGTACCCATCTTCATCAATCCAAAGACAGGGAAGTTTCAGCCTCACGCAACCATCACACTCGGAGCTCGAGGTGATTCATACTATGAGTATCTTCTGAAGCAATGGTTGCAGACTGGAAAGTCCCTCCCCATGTAAGTCTGATAGTGATCATGATGATATATATATGTTGTGTTTAAGCTTTGAGAATGAAGATTATTGAGCTACATATACCATTGCAATGCTAGGTTCAAAGATGACTTCATTGAAGCTTTCAAGGGGATCAAGAGTTTCTTGGCCAGGAGGACATTTGTCAATAACCTCCTCTTCATAGGAGAACTGAAGAGTGGACAGGCTGCCACTTTTTACAAGAAAATGGTATGTGCTTTGTTGCAGAGTGGCAGGGAAGTTATAAATAGATTTCTTCATAAGTATTTCTCTTTTCTCTCTCTGCATTTTTTGCTACTGAAGGTCTATGATTTCTGCATAGAAGGTTTTAAGGGAGTCTGATCTATCTGGAAATTTGTTTATTTTTTATTTTAGGAGTAAAGAGCATTGAATATCTGAGGGGTCTAAAGTACCATTTTCCAACCTGTGTGCTGCAGCACCCAGCACCCAGGGATGCCACAAAATGCCAATGAGAGTGCTATGGGGACTGAGAGATTTTTTTTTGGAATGTCAAAAAATTAAGAAGACCAGGAAGATACTTTGCTCCAATAATCAAACCATTATTGGTTTGATTGAGCACTTTATGGAGTTGGTAGCAAACCTTTTCTAGAGAACTGCTTTAAAAGTATGACATTTCTGACTTCAATCTACTCTCTTAAAATTAAACTGTTGTGCCAGGAGAACATAGCATGAATCAACTTTGATCAAAATTGACTCATATTGCTTACTCATGGAACCCACATCAAGGAAGAGTACCAAGGTCAGTATTGTTGCTGCAATGAAGATCCTGATTGCTCTTGCCAACACACTCACATGTGCATAGATATACAGAGTGGTTGGAAAGTAACTCCCTATTTTATAACTGCAATAACTTTTTCCCTTTTTGGACTGGAACCCTGGTTTTTGTGCCAAAAGAACAAGAATTCATTGAGGTTTTATGATTTTATTGATTCATTTGTTTGCATTGATCCCCCATGGGGCCAAAATTAAATCTTCAACACCATGCACAAATAGCTACACAGTATGAGGTGAAGGAAGTTAGGAGTTGCATCTGAGCTATTCTTCCACCACCACCTCTGGTTCATAATAGAGGGCCTCCATACCTCATATTGTACAGCTATTTGCACATGGTGTTAAGGATTCATTTTTGGTACTATGGGAGGTCAATGCAAACAAACAAATCAATGAAATCATAAAACCTAATTGAATTCTCTTTCTTTTGGCACAAAAATGATTGTTCCAGCCCCAAAAGTACAAAAGCCATTGCAATTTAAAATATGAAGTTACTTCCCAACCACCCTATATATACAGGGTTGTTATAAAGTCACAGCCCTATTTGATTGGCCATAACCTTTTAAGAGACAGTTGGATGCCACTATTTGACAGAGAGGTTCATGAGTCCAATAAGTTTTTTTCATACTGCAAGATGACACTGAATGCCAATAAAGGGCACTGACATCAACTGCAGCACCACCTACCTACATGCCATGTCATTTTTCAGGCATGGGGAAAACAACCTTTCAGACCCATGAACCTATCTGCCAAATATCAGCTGCATCCAAGAGTTCTTTCAAAAGTATGTTGCAGTATACCAGTAATTGCATCATACCACGGCATTTGGTTCTCATGATAATCATACCAACTCCTTCTACATTTTTTGGTATTATTGCCACTGTATGAAAATACAGTCCATGTTCATACCATGTGGAATACTGTCCATGTTCATACCATCACCATGATATGGATACTGCCTCTCGTCATACCGCCACTACGGTGATGCCCACCACCTGGGGAAGACTGAAGCCTTCCTGGAAGCTTTGTGAGAACAATGTTTCTCAAGAAAGCCCCATCTAAACCTTGTCTAGCTTCCTTGATAACCCACATCAGGTGACAAGCAATGAAGGAAATAAATATGCAAATGCACTAGGGTTTGCCTGGTATTTCATGAATTCTATCTTTCTAAATGTTATTCATGAATTTTGCTTATCTATCTTTGCTTATTTTGGTAGCTTTTACTATCATCTTGGGAGTTATTATTTTTTTTATTATCAAACCACACATCATCAGAATCAGATTTTACCAAAAGTAATAATGATGCAGAATGAAATGCAGAATGAAATGAACTTTCATATCTTTCAATCATGTTTTTATCTGTCTATTATTGTTTGGACAGAAGAGGGAATCTATGGTTTTTTTGCCTCCCTGTGATGTAACCATGTCACACACCACACACAACTATGTTTGTTGCCTTCCATATGGTCAAAATGGTCTACACACCAAGTTTCACAACATTGTGCCCATTGGTTTTCTGGGAACAGTCATCTGAACAGTGGAAGTGACTTTTAAAAGATCCTGTGGTTGTTGGTGGGAAATATTCCCAAATATACTTATTAGTGAAATGCAGTTTACCAAGGCATCAGTTTCCTGTGTGATGCAGGTCTTAGTCTTGCTTTTAAGATGATACAGATACTCTCTAATGTATATTTTGCTTTACATATATCAAAGATATTTGATTAACAGCACTTGTGCATAGTCTAGATGTTAGATTGATTTCTAAAAAACATGTGTTTTGTCTGAATTTGTACATGCCAAGTATAGATGTTTGTTTCAATAGTGCAGAAAGCACTTATATATGTATGTGCAAACATGCATACATGACTTAATGTCACAATATTTGACACATCACCACAAAACATGTCATTGAGATCAGGGAAAGGCTGAATAAGCTGTCTACACAATTTTTTTTTTATTGATATTAAATTGGGTCACTTGCAGTGAATCATGTTTATTACTCAGGATCATTTGACTTGCTTTCTGCCTGGGACCCTTATCTTGGCTGTGGAGAATGGTCTCCCTGAGTACATGAAATCCTTTGGAGAGGAACTTCTCAAAACCTGCTACCTGACATACAAATGGAATCCCACTTTCCTAGCTCCAGAAATCACTCATTTCAACTTTGAGGTAAGCCATTCTCATTACCCATATAATGGTGCATCCCAGAAATGGTATACCAATGGAGCATCTAACATAAGTGATTGAAATACTTTCCTTCCTCTCAGGCACTGTGTATCAACAGGATTATACTGTCAAATTTTCAAAATTCCAGGAAGTTGGTTATAGCACTGACTGAGATTCTGTTGTAAAATTATCATGGCATTTGGGAGATCATGAAAAACTGGCAAATCCAAAATTTCAAAGGTTTAGGTCAAATGGTCTCTTATACAGGGTGGTCCAAAAAATCTTGAACTTCACAACAGACAATAAAATATCCAATACTGCTGCATTAAATAAAATTTCAATTCATTTGTGTTGACATAATTAATAATAATATTAACTACGTCAACACCAATGAATTGACGTAATTAATAATACTATTTTAATTTAACCCCTTCACATATTTTTTCATGGAAAATTTATAGTTTTTTCAAGTCTTCAATAATTTAAGTTATTCTAAAGGTCAATAAAATATAAATAATAATTTTCATGCAATCCAAACCAAATCCAATGTCTCTCTCACAATTATAAAAATTCAAGCAGTTTTTAATTGAAGGAAGGTGACATGATGGAATACACTGTCAAGCAGTGTAGGAAAAAAAAATTTTTCCTGTGAACCTGAGGCAACAAATTGGAATTTCCCTGGAAGATATGTAAGTGGACTAAGCAGGCCACCTGCCCAAGCATCTCCATTCCCATGAACCTTGTTCACAGGGGTTTTCATACCCTGCTGTCAAGTAATGGCAAAGGGTTAATTGCAGCCATTCCTCCAGTAATTGTGGCAAGATTTTGAACTATCTTCCATTTTGCTCAATGCCTATCACAACTTGTACTCTGAATGGATCAGAGACTATGTTTATTTCAGCTTTATCCATTAGTTCCCAGGCTTATTTTACTAGTTGTATGAGGTGGTTTTCATCATGAATGGCCTCTTCATGTTCATGCTGACACATTCTTTCCCATATGTGATAATCTTCCGGATTGAAGTCAGATGAATTAGAGGGTCACATGAAGTCAGGAATGTGCTTTGTCATAACAACAACAATATTTATTAATAACAACAAGAATTGAGACATGGAACAACTGATTATATTAATTAGAATCACCTGATTTCAAGCTTTAAAATACTATCAACCAGCTTTCTAGCTTGAGCAGTTTGGGTAATGAATCTTAACACATTCGCTGCCAATCTCGGCTATAGCCATTTTTGTAAAGTCTTTCTCCCAAAGCCAATGACAGCTTGAGCCATTTGAATGCCTAGCAGTGAATGCATTAAGAGTCATTTTGCTTCTCCCTTCAAAAAAAATATTTGCATGTCTTGGAGACTGACTCGACTGGTGAAGGTTTTTTTTTTTTTATCTCCAAAGCCATGAATTTTTACTACTAAGTCACAGTCAGTGATGCTGTCACCTTTGGACTACTTCACATGGCCTAACTGTGAAGACTACTCTGTTGCACTCCTCTGATTGTGTGACACTCCCTGAATAGACTGTTCTACCTGGCACCATTGTTTTTAGTGATGCAGGTAGAAGAATAGTATACCCAGGTGTGTCTCATGGCATCCAGATTCTGTGGTTTGGAATGACCCAGAGGTAGATGTCAAATGTTGTGAAGTCTTTGTGTTAAGGTGGTCATTCTGCTATGCCATAATGGCCAATCCAGCAACCTTGACTTCGCCCCACTTGTAGGGGCAATTGAAATCTCACTACCCATGCCATATAATCTAGTAGGTATGAATTTTGTATCCATCACCGACTTCATGACCTCTTGAATCCCTAGCACCTTTCCATGTATGGTATGTATATGGTGTCCAAAAAAGATTCAGACTACCTTTACCTTTAATAAATCATGAACAAATGAACGTATTTACACGTGGTTTGCAGCAAACAAAAGCTTGATGTTTTAAGTTTTATTACTTACAAATGAAAAAATTTTAATATCAAAATTTTTTCTAGCTTGTTTGAAAGTGAGATGGCAACTTGAGGAGGAGGCACAGTGTGTGCTGTGAATTGCAGAGTTGAAGTCAGGCACACAGGTGCAGTGCAAGTTCAAAACTGTTTACATCAAGAATCCTCCTATCCATGATTCCATTTACTGATGTATGAAGCAATTTAAGGACACTGGAAGCTTGCTGAAAGAGAAGAGCTTGGGTAGGCCTTAAACTTTGGATGCTGATGTTGACATGTACAGGAGCCTTCAGGTGCAACCCAAGAAAGTCTGTGTGCCACCCAAGTAGAGAATTGCAGATGCCACTAGAAGCTCTTCTCTTTCAGTATACTTCCTATGTCCTTACATTGATTCATCCATTGGTAAATGGAATCGTGGACAGGGGGATCCTTGCTGTAAACAGTTCTGAGCTTGTGCTTCATCTGTGTGACTGACTTAAATTCCACAATCCACAGCATGCACTATGCCTTCTTTTGTGGAGTTGTCATTTAACTTCCAACAAGCTGAAAAATATATTAATATTCAAATCTATGTAATAAAACTTGAAATATCAAATTAAGCAAACCACATGCAAGTACATTTCTTTTGTGCATGATTCATTAAAAATTATAGCTGTCTGCATCTTTTATGGACACCATGTATTTTTAAGCTACCAACACCAACACCATTTCCATTGACTTTTAATTCACTGCTATTGGTTTGTATGCTCTCCGTGGCATGGCTATACTTTTTGAAAAATGGGATTAGTAAATATCAAATCACATAAAAATCCAAATGTCCAGAAGTGTGGATGTGGGATGTGAGAAAATAAACTGCCAGCATCAACCATGAAGTTCAAGTGTGTGAACCTTTTTCCTGGGTTGCTGCACCATTTTGGATGGGTAGCATCCCAAATATTTACTTTAGCTGTGGCATTTGTGCATATCTTCTTTGATGCATTGTACATTTTACCAACTAACCCACAGAAATGCATATCAAAAAGGAATTATAATTCAGAGATACATGAAACTTGGTGATATGAGAACCAGGACATTGTGAATTGTAAAATGACAATCACAGTCACAACACATCACAACATATGTTGGAAGTGGCCATCACCATGCTCAATACACAAGTGTGTGTGGCAAAGCATGATGGCTGAATGTTGAACTCATTTTTGGCAATTGTATGATTTCTAAGGGATTATAGCCTACCTGATTTATCATCACTGGATTACTTCTTGTGGGGCTACATTAATTAAGACCAGGCATATGTGAACAGTCCCCATACTCAGGAAGAGTTGCAAGACTATATTACCTATATCATTGCCAACATTCAGCCAGCAATATTACAATCTGTGTCCAGCAAAATGTTTCACTATGCACTCACATGTATTGAACATGGTGGTGGCCACTTCTAACATATGTTGTGACTGTGATTGTCATTTTGCACTTTATATGATCCTGGTTCTCATATCACCAAGTTTTATGTATATCTGAATTATAGTTCCTTTTTTAATTGCATTTCTTCAGGTTAACTGGTTAAAATGAACACCCTGTATTTTATAGTACTATAAAAGGGATTGAGTTGGGCCACCTACCACACACTCTATGACACCATGGTGTTCTTGATTTCTCCGGAATTTAGAATGGGAGCAAGACAGACATGTTTATAAGTCCGACTGACGGCCACAATCTCTTGAGGCCAGAAACTGTGGAAAGTCTTTGGTACTGGTATTATTTCACTGGAAATACAACATACCAAGATTGGGGCTGGAATATATTCCAGGTTAGGAAAATATCCTTGTTCTAATTGTATCTGCTGCTGTTTTATTTTTCTAATAGATATTTTGCTTCAATGCAGGCCTTTGAGAAGTACACAAGAGTGGAGCATGGTTATTCTAGCATCAAGGATGTTCGTAATCCTGAAAACCCAGGATATAAGGATAAGATGGAGTCCTTCTTTTTGGGAGAAACCCTGAAGTACTTCTATTTGCTTTTCTCTGACACCCCACATGAGTTTGATCTTACCCAATGGGTGTTCAATACAGAGGGTCACCCACTTCCCATCTTTGATTCATGACATACTCCCTAGGCAAAGTTGTTTTCTTTGAAAATATGAATTCCCCCCTCAGGTATTTATACTGAAATGCTTTCATCTGTGGAGGACATTCTCCCAGAGATGATCTATAGATTGTGATACATGGTATGGCCAACAGTTGGCATGTGATTCCTCTTCCTGTGCATTTTCCTTGCAAGTTCAGTGTTTTGTAAAGCCTAAACAAAGTATGCCTAATTTTAACCTTTGAATGAGAATACCTGCTAAATTTATCTATAAAGTGTAGTATTGTTCAACTGTTATAAAGACAGTTGAATGTAAGGCTCATAATCCCTCCCAAGACAATATCCAATACAGCTCTAATGCCTCACTGGCAAGTTCTTTCTTCCACTTGCCCTCTTCATCAGCCTTCATGCAAGAAATGTGATTTATGTTTCATCTATAGGGTGGACCAAAAAAAAAAAAATTCCATTTTCTATGGGATGATCATGATGCTGAAAGTAGGCTTCTGGAAACAGGAAATTCCAAAAATCCATTAGGAAAGAAGAAACTTCCTTAATGTGGTTGAAGGTTGTTGAATAAAGTTGAACCAAAAAAACCCTGATATTTGTCAGGAAGCAGTGCAACGTAAATGAAATGTATGAAGAAACATGTTTCAGGAAGCTAATGCTTTTAAATAACTTTTTGAAGTCATGGAAGGCCTGTGAAGATGAAAAGATGATGTTCCCTTCCTTTAGACTTCTCAAGCTTCTCTAATGATGTCTTAGATCAGGGGTCTCAAACTCATGGCAGCTTGTAGAGTGTTTCCATGTGAATGCAGCCTGTGGGGCATGAGTTTGAGACTCCTCCCTTAGATGATGCTCTGAGGAATTGTTTGCAGAATTTTCTGCATTTCCTTCTGGATGATATCTTCCAGTGCCAAAGAATTCTCTGGCCTTAAGCTGTTAATTCTTTCTTTGAGATAACCCCTAAAACACCACATGATGTTGAGATGCATGCTGCAGAAGGTTCATAATAGCTGTAGCTGTGTGAAGGAGAAGAGGGGTTAATCTAATTGAAACCAGAGACTAGGATTCAACAGATATCTTGACTGGTTCTGAACTCCTGGAAAATAAAATTTAGTGGTAATCATATGATGCAGCACCATAATGGTGTGTCCTCTTTGATCTTCAAAAAAGTACTACATTAGTTCTTTCTGCTTTTTGCCTTATGGCAATTCTCCCATAGAATTTGATGGAGTAGTGTTTTTGGTCCACCCCCTGTCTTTGACAAGCCTGTGATATTTTGACAGAATGTTTTCTGTGACATTTTTAGGCCTAAACTCTTGTGCATAAGTGGGTCTTGCATGTCATGGTGAGTCTTGACAGTTTGATGAGAATTTTTTTTCTTTGTTAAGAGTAACAAAATTGGGAAAGCAGATTAATGAATTACAAAACATAAAAGAGTAATGTAGGCCTAGTGGACAGACGGCAGTTATGAATGCTGAAAATTCATCCACCTTCAGAAAGGGTATCATTAATTTATGACAAGCAGCACAGCTTTTTTTTTTTCATTTATGTCAGTCTGCAGAGTATTGGTGTTAGTAACCTATTGCCTTGATAGGACTTTTGCATTTCTGGAATTGCTGATTATTGTTTCAAGTTTCAAGAATGTGCCCAAGGATCTCTAGGGTATTTATGGAAAAATTGCTGTTTCCTTTCTTAGCTAAGCAGTAATACAGTATTGGCAGGCTCTTGTAAAGCCATGGTTATGACATTGTACAACTTCATCTGATGCATCTTCCTCATCCATGACAGAAAATTGATGATGCTTACTACCCTGCTTTGGGAAATACACTTTTTGAGCTCATCCCTCCAGTAAAAATGGAAGTGAATTATGTTACCATATGAATGAAATGAATGCATGGAACTGGGAAGCATCACCTCTATAAGCAAAATTGCTCATAACATTTTGCAGAAGAGATTGAAAATTAATAAGTCCCTTTTTTATGTTCCAAATTTTGCAGCATCCCAATTTTTTCATAGTAAAGGTCATTGTATGAGATGCAATGCATAAAGATGTATTGAAAATTAATTTGGAGGTGGTACATATTACGTCAGTGCAGTATGCTTATGCAAATGACAGCCCTAGAAACTATTCAAATGCCAACTTCAAATACTCTCCAAACATAAACTAACAATTAGTTGCCATGGTGTTTAGGTGCCATTAGCTCTCTTACCCTGCAATGCACTGCTAATCTTTTTTAAATATTCTGTTCTTGTCCACATATTTCATTGTGCACACTCACTGATTCTTAGATGAAAGGTATTGGTCATATACATTCTAGCACTGGTTGCTGGAGAATCCTCTTCTCAGGACCCTGTACCCAGGGCCCATTTGCCTGATCAAAATGCAGAAATCCTCAAGTTGAAATATTGATCAGTTTCCTGGTGTTAAACGCCTATACTTAATCTTAAAACAAAGACATCATGACACTCAGAGGAATATGTGAGAAAGAATGGACTCATGCCCCATATTTAACAGGTTGCCCATATTCACACAACCATATGCAACTCTATGCCCTTCATTATTAAGCTTGTTCTTGCTATAAAGATAATAATTTTAGTTCATGCAGGAATATTGGACATTCTTTAGATTTAAAATACATTTGTATTTGTATATTGTATCATGAACTTGCATTTTTTGCTGCATAAGACAAGTAAAGCAAGAACAGAAAGTCAGAAAATGCCTCAGCTTCAATCCAGGTGTTTCATTAATGTTATAGATAATCTGATGATCCCAAACCCCAGCCTGAGTTCTCATGAAATTCAGTATAATTTCCTCAACTTTTACAAAATGGAAGTTGGTGTTTGCATGATGTCAGGTTGTCTAATACCAGGAACAGAATGACATCTCATTACATTGCTAGCTATGATAAAGGGGACTCCAGGCAGTCCCATTACCAGGGTGTTGTTTATTTGTGCATATAATAACCATAAATAATTTTTCCATGAAGATGAATTTATAGAGAGGGAAAATATGCATTTAACCAGAAGGTTTTTTTGGCAGATTTATCCACTCTCCAAGGGAGTGAGTGTAGCAGCATTCAGCATGAAAAATACTTTTTTTTTGCTCTCAAAATTAAGAAGTATAAAGACAAACCTGCTTTCACAGAATCAGTGGCTAACATTTGATGAGGATTTGAAGATTCTTGATCTAATAGACTATTGAGTGAGATATGATGAGATGTGAGTGGGAGGAAGCTTATCTCCCAATGATGCAACACCATTGAAAATTTTATTGTATACTGGCTCCTGTTACATTCATCTATGCAAGCTGGTTTGTGCACTAAGTAACCTTTACTATAATTACATTTTCATGATAATTACTCTTATTGGCTAACAATAAAAAAAAAAAACTTTTCATAGCCCTTCTGGTCCTGACTGTAGTCTGTGCCATCATTGGAATGAGGGAACTAAGTTTAAAAAAAGAAATCGGGATTCCATATCTGCTTTTTCCTTAGAGAAATTTGATCAGACTAACATTTTGAGGTTCTAAAGCCAAAACTTTGGATCTGATTGAGCTAAAAAAAAAATATCAAATATTTCTTTGTAGTGGTAATCATGTTTTGAGAATCACAAATCCTCATAGGCCTGCCTTTATTTACTTATGTACTCTGTTAGATATTGATATTGCTGGGAGTGGGTTTATTCAAATTCACCTGTGGACAGAAAAGTCAAATTGCATTGCTGTAGGCAAGCTGATTTTTGTCCTCCATAAAAAAATGAACATGAATTTAAGCATGAATTACTCCTAAGTATCATTTTGTGAAACTCCAAAGCAAAGAAATATTAAGATCGTTGAAGTGACTAATTTTTTCAAACTAAAGTAATCATTTGTCAGGGGTTATATCATACTTGAGTGTATATCCATGGCAAAAAATTTGGTCAGTGAAATTCAACTGTCATCCTTGGATTTACTTTGTTTGTTTCGTCTGTGATCCAATTGGCAAGTGCATTGCATTAGCCTGCATGGACTTAGTATTATTGATGTTATTATTATGGTTTTTTAAATTATATTATGTTTGTTATGGGTATGGTGAAATTCAAGTTTCTGCTTTTAGTCATGTGCTTGCACAAACAAATTATCACCATGAGTTTTGCATCTAGTCTCCATTATATTCTTGAAGAATTGGAAATTACCATCTTCAGTAAGGAAGACTCATGACTTTCAAGTGGCCTTTCCCTGGTGTGCCTTTTTTTGTTGCTCAGTCATTATGACCTTTCAGAAAATGACTGAAAGGACTGATGGTGCTTGTTGAAATACCATTAGCTTTATTAATTGTTTTTCTTGTAATTGATTTCTCAACTGGTATTCTGCTGCATGCTGCTAGGTGCATATATCCTTCATGCCCATAGCTCATCACTTTGGTGCACCCCCATTCATTGTATAATTTATCATGGTTATATTTATGTATGCATCACAGCAGTTCTACCATCAGGAATCACTGCACCTTGTCCATCCTCTTGAAATGTCATATTAGCTACAATACAATTATTGTTCCCCCCCCATTTGACTGGCATCAATGCAAATAAAACAGAAGTGATCAGAACTCATCCAATATTTTTTCTTGAAGAAGTTATGATACCTATGCAGCCTTGTTTAGCTGCAGTTATGCCAGTGTAACCTTTCTTGTATGATTGATGCATATGTCAGCAGATTGATATCCATTAGATCATGTACCTTGTTATGTTACAGCTTGGAACAATATACACAACATATAGATCTCATCCATCCCGAGATATAGTTTCATTTGTAGCGTGCAGTTCGCGCTAAAAATCGAACTATGGAATTCAACAGTCCCAACCAATTATTTTTTTGTCTGCCGGAATATGCATCTACTGTATATTAATGCAGATGGGCAAGACATACGTCCTTGAGCATTTGAATTTCACTTTTTTTTTTATTTAACAGAAACAGGTGCATGCCTTACCTCACCACTGCTTGCAGTTGTGCTATTATCAGCTTTTTTTAAATCAAAGGGA